ATGACATGTACCAAATATGGGTGAAATCGGTTCACAACCACGCCTGAAATCTCGATTATCACTTTATCATGCGAGAGTATAAAATGTTCGGTGAAACCCGAACTTAGCCCTTCCTTACTTGTTTTTTAATATATATATATTTTTTTTTGCTATTGTTTTGTTATTAACAGAAATGCCATTTCAATTGCAGTTATAAATGTGTTCTTATTTCGCATTTTCCGAGATTTTGAAACCTACCCCTTTTTTCCATCGCTTTTCGGCTTGAGAACATTTATTTGAGCTCAGAAGAAACGCTTGCGCCAAAGCTTTCACAGAAGGCATAACTTGTGCCACCTCTTCCTCAACGACCGCCTTTTCGCCAAAAGAGAGCTACAAGAGAATGTTCGTAAAATTATTTTATATAAATGCCAATGTTATGTCTTACCCTATGCGCTTCCTCCTCTAATGGCAACAGCTGGCTGGGATCTATTAATCTTCGTTTCGGCTGTAGAAATTTGAATGCCTTTGGTGTGGGGCCTGGAGCCAGGGTTGATACACAAGTTTCAGCGGGTTTCGCTTCTAACAATATCTCTCTAGGATATAACTCTTTACATTTATAAATTTTTTTGGATTTCGCCAGAGCATCTTTTGGCTCGACGGAATCTGAAGTTGTTATGGTTATATCTGTCGTCGACGGCTTATCATCGTTATGGACGATGACTGTTGTCTGTTTCTTGAAATCATAAATACGTATTGTGTCCGAGTCGTCACTGGTTGTAGTATTTATCGAATTCATAGACTGATTTGACAGCGTTTCAAAGGAGGTGCTTTCTTCCACCACTTGTGCGGGAAGAGCGAGATATACCGTTGGGTGGATAACAACAGGGGTTTCTTTTGCAATTATTTCGTTGCCTTGACTTATACTCTTCGATTTTTTATATACAAGTTTTATCAATATGAAGTATGTGTTCAATATGAAGTATGTGTTCGATTTTTTTTTGCAATTTTGTATGAAAAGAGAATATATAGAACATACGCCGAATAATGTTAGTAAAACCAGTTTCTTCCAATGTTAGATATGTATATAGATGGAAAAATTAATGGTTGGCATAAGTTGTGCAAGTATGGTTGACTTCTAAAACGAATATTGTTGGATGACATTGTGCATTTTAATTTACTTTTAAATGAAAATGTATGTATGTATATCGTTCCGTTGCTTTCGTCACTTATTACATACATTTGCAATTGTACCCTAGACATAATACATTTGATGTAAGTCATCTTGAAGCCTGAGAATTGACTCCATTGACATACAACTGTATTGAAATATGAAAGCAATTACTTTTTCGTGCTCTGAAAACTTCTTAAAAAATCAATTCAATGAAATCGAATAGGTACGCTAACTAGAGTGAATGTGAGACATAATAGGTTGTCAAAACCTATGGTTGTCTATATTGGTTGTCTTTCGACCAATTCAGCGGTTTTATCGCAATTTTCGACGACAGGCCTTCCGGCGCGTGGCGCATCTTCGACCACCGCTACACCAGAACGAAAACGTTGAAACCATCGTTGTGCGGTGGAAATGGAAACTGTATCGGGTCCATAAACTGCACAAACTTTATTGGCGGCTTGAGATGCATTTTTGCTTTTATCGTAGTAGTACTGTAAAATATGATGAAATTTTCTCTTTATTTTGCTCCATGTTTGCGACGCTATAACTCACGAACGACTTAAAAGAAACGACAATCAATCAACAGCGCGTGAAATGAGCTTTCCAAAAAGGTATAGCATGACCCGATGCGACGAATAAAACTAGAACTACGCGCTCTCAGCGCCAACTAGCGAAAATACCGCAAGACTTTTTTGATAACCTAATATAATTAAATGAATAGCGTCTGATATTTTTGCGTTAGGGGGTGTAGTAATTTCATTGTAATTAATGAAACCATGGTATTGTAATGGTAACGTGCTTTTAGCTTGTGATATATTGCATTTCAATGGTTTGCTGAGTTTTGGCCCGGATTTTTATACGGCCAAAGACGGTCAACTCGGCACTTTCCCTCGAAATTACTTCAGTAATGTTTTTTAAAGCTCATGCAAGTTAACGCCAATGTAAGGCCGTCATTTGTAAGTTTTTAAAAATGAATAAGCTTTGTGCGCTATAGGTTCTCAACGTCGATCTTTCAGTTTCATGACCGATTAATCAAAGAATTAACGTTATAAACTAGTCCGACACCCTCCGTATTTTCCAGGCTTCGCCCCAGCGACTACTTCAACATTCCCAGCCTCTAATTGTTATTGGCAGAAAAAAATCAAATACTAAGGTCAAGAGGCATTAAAGCTTCACATTATCGAACGAGTATCGAAATTTAATGGAGCAACAAAAAAGTTATCACTCTAGATGGAGATTATGTAGAAGTATATATGTATAGTATTTTCAATTTGTTACTCTAAAGAATTTTCATCTCGAGTAGTACATTGATAACGGTTTTTGTCAATATTCTCGCTAAGTGCTGATTTTCATTAAGCGTAATTTGTTATATGTATTTGCAAATTGCTATTATATATACTTATATTTGTCGAATTAAAGTGAAGTTATATCCATGAATAGTCTTTATAACAAGACACCTTTTATATTTCATGAACAAACGTTTTCATTGATATTTTCATACAAAACGAATTTCTATTACTGGACAGGAATACGTTTTAATAGCCGGGCACGTGGACTAATTTAGCTAATATTTCGTTCAAATTAGAACCGATTAACTACCAAAATTTCATAAAATGTGTGCCGGACAAAAACACTGAGACAGTGAGAAATAACTTTCCCATTGTGATTTCTATAGATACGTATACGCCAAATGCTTGCCAAACATTCCAATCTCCGTAATTGATAGATGAATTATGAAAACCGTAAGGGACAGAGAAGGACGAAATAACTAGAAGGGTGCCAAAAGGATCTGTTGTTTCTCGACATAGATATATTTATTGAAATATTTCTAAATTAATAATATCGTTGATGACATGCTGCAAGCAATATGAGACAATAAATGAATGAAGCGTTCTCAAGCAAATGTTGTTAGTAAGTTTTATAAATAAGGACAAAAATGTTTAATTGTGTATTATGAATGTGATTACATGCAAATTTAAAGAATGTTGATGGAAAATGCTAGGAGCTAGCACCTAATATATTTATTCAAATTTTAATACTTACCACTGCGACCAGAAATACTATCTTCATTCAAATGTACCTAAAACTTGTGTCTGTTCAAAACTGAATATTTTTTGCGAATTGTTGTTGGTAACTTATCCAGTTTTATGTCACATACATATGTAAGTTTTCACGAAAACATTTACTATATACTGGTATATTACATAGTCATGTATGTGTGTATATATTGTGTAATATTCTAACTAAATCAATCGAGGAGATAAATTTACCGACGTATGCACCAATCCTCTCATAGTGCCTAGTTCTGTTAGCATATCTTAATCTTTACACAAGTTTTCGCTTGTACGGATGAACAGTTCAACTCGCAATGTCATCTTGATATCCTGATTGCTCTATATATATACTTATATCTCGATTAGCTTTAGGTGTTATTAATAACGGTTAGAAAAAACTATTATACTATCCTGTGAGCAACGTATTGCCAGTGTATAGATTGGACTTTTTTAGAATTCTGCGGGTTCCCATATAAAAACTGCGCAACTTTAAATTTTTCTATATAATGCAAAATAATTTTTCAATTTTGAGCAAACATTTTAATTCTATTTTAAAGAGTCTTTGAAATCTTTTCTTTTATTTTTAAGTTTTAATAACATCTCATATTACCGAAATTAATATGAATACTAAAGACTAATTTAACAGTTTATGCGTATAGTACATAACTATTATGTTTATAATTCATATAAAATGTCAACTCCGTGTGTGTTACTAAGTTAGTATATAATTTTTACGAGCTTTTCACAATGACGAAAAACATTTTTTCGTTTTACATTATTTTGTAAGTCCAACTTTTTGTTGAAGAATTATGTCATTACTTACTGCACCTTTAATTGTTGAATTACCTTTATGTGGAAAATCCCTATTTCATAAACACACCCACCAATTGGCTAATGTTTAACGCAAGCACTTATCTGTCTATATAGTTTATATATGTATGTACATCAAGGTTAATAGAAAACGGGTTTCGTCAACTCCAATTGTGTAATAGTCATGAAGTTATTTTGGAATGAGTCTGTATAATTTATCTACAAATCTATTAAAATATATTTGGTCCCAAATGTATTAATAATAAAGCTTTTCAGAAGTACGAGTTTTTAGTTTAATTTTTTTTACTTTACACAAAAGTTCTTATTTTAACTTGCTGTCGTCAAAGGCTCACTTGAATAAATATAATCCAAACCCTTAGATATTTACTAAATTATGATAAGAGTACAGTCCATTATTTATTTGTACATACTTTTAATGAGAAATAATACCCACTATAAATATTTCTTTCAAAAAAATTTTAATGTTCCGCTAAGATAGTATTTCAGGAATTTTTTTCCACATACCAAAACGGCCAGAAGAGAGGAATAACATATTATTTGTTTTCAACATATTCGCACACAGCTTGCTGTAAATTTATGTATCTTCACTACTCCTTTCTAGTCTAAACTTACCGGACTAATGTATATCATACTTAGCAATTGAATATTTTGAGAGTTATAGAAATGTTAGCATTACATTACTGACTAGTGTTAATTATTTCTGACTTTGGATAAATGTCACTACCTACATAAATGAAACTAAATTTTCTGCAAAAAGGCTCACACTTTAATTGAGGAAACTTGTGTTGTCGACGTTCGTGTTGGTTGCAACGAAGCAATGCATGAAACTATCGACTCCAGAGTCAGTTTGATCATCGCTGACACCATCTGTTAAAGGGTTAAGTTTGCTCTGGTTCTGGTTCGGTTCAGTAAAAGCAGTGGTGGTGTTTTCACTCTCATATAGTGGATTCATAACAAAGTTTTTTGTTGTGACCGAAATGGCACGAAAACTATTTCTTTTAAGGTCTTTATGAAGCAATTGCTTTTCGAATTGCGACAAAATATTAGAATTTGATAAGACGAGATTCTTTGAATTCGACGTGTTTAAGGGTGTATTATTAGTGTTACTATAAAAACTAAGAGACGATAAAGTGCGCCGTGAAGGTAGAGTTTCCGAATAATTATCAGCAACACTAGCACTTCTCCATGAACGTAGTGAATGTTTATCCTCGCTGCAATAGTCTAAGTTAATCTTATTGTTTGTGTCTAATCTGCCAAAGTCATTTTCAATTTCATTAGGTCTTGTTTTGTTATAAATGCGGTTCGAGTATTGGTTGATCTTCGACATATGAATACGGTCCAAATTGTTATAATGAGACGCTGAGGTGAATGAATTTGGTTGTCGTGGAAGTTCTTTGTAATATGTAGGAGCAGTGGAGGTTGCGTTTGGAGTGAAGTTGTAACATGATTTTTGAGGTGAACGGTGGTTAATGCATTCTAGTGAATTGCTACGACGCACTGGAGTGGAAAAAATCCAATGACAATCACTTTGATCACTATAAAGCGGGATACTTTTATATGTAGTTTTGCCGTAGGAATTTACCTCTTTGGTGAACGTATCTTCTACGAGCTCATCACTGCATCCGGAACTAAGTCGTTTGCGTTTATCATTTCGGTGATTTTGATGATTAGGACTGGCTTTTGGAGGATTGTCAGCGTTTATATAGTAATCACGGCTATATCTAAAATGAGCGTATTGAATTTGCATTATATAACTCGAGATTATATTCAATAACAATACCTCTTGTAACCAATATTACTAGTGCTTTCGTTCTCTTCATCGTCTTCTGCTTTTACAGTTATTACATTTTTATTCGTGCTTGAGCTTATATTTGGTAAATCTATAAAACGCTCCTGGCTGCCACTAATCCTACGTTTTAAAGCGTCCGGAGTATATGGATTATTTGGCATTTCAACTGCATTGTTCCATTTCTTATATTCACGCTCTGCTATAGAGCCTAGAAAGTGTAACAATTAAGATATTTATGTAAATATTTACACACTTTAAAGATAATTTGAAGATGTTTGCGATTTTAATACGACACATACTGTATAAACACCAAATAGATTAATTAAAGGAAATTTAAAATATACCACAAAACACAGACAACTAAAAAAACAACACAGCACAAGGAAGTACAACACAATAGAACATAACACCGAGCGATGTTTGCATTCACTTTGTGTTACCTGGCACGAAATGTCTCAAAGGAACAACATCATCTTCTTCCCCATTATTATCCTCTTGATAGTTATTGTTGTGGTACATAAATTGTTGACCTTGTTTAAAGTTGGATTTAGAATTTGGATATGAGTTATTTGTTAGTTTAGTATTGTTGACGAATGAGTTATTGCAATTATTAGTATGAATAATATCTTGTTCATTATTATGACCTGGTAGGCAAGATTCGATATTAGTTGACGTGCTTCTACTGGCCAGATTTGTGACGGAACTAAGTTGATCTGAGAATAGAATATCATTAAGGAAGTTAAATCTATAATCTCTTAGACTTTCTGGCAAAGTAGCTGCAATGTTACACTTCGGGAGAGGTGGTGGAGGTGTGCATAATATGAGTGCTTGTTTTTTCAGTAAATCTTGTTTAAGATAATCATATTCAAATTCAAATTCAAAGGAATCTATGGAATGCAGATACTTTTGCATGATCTCAATTTGACGACGTCGCCTTTCAAGCGAAGCCACAAGTCGTTTATCGTTTATTAATCTTTTGCACATTTTAGCAATGTAAGACATAGTTCGATGTGAACATTTTTCATCGCTCGATGTTACGCCGATTTTATGCGACTGCTTGCCAAGCTGCTTGGTTACTGGATTATTTAATCTTGATAATAATTCAACCACGACTGTACTGCTTCTAATAGGGTAGGTGTCAGGGTCTGAAGACTTTACGTCAGACGTATCAGTTACGACACCAGTAATATTGTCATAGTTTATAAAAGTTGTTCCCGAGACTATATCGTTATTTAATGTTATGAACAAATTTGAAGATTCAGAAACGTTAATAACTTTCAAACAATTTTTCACAGTTCCGGCTGATTTAGAGGAATCGTTGGTTAGAGTAATTCCAGTGTTAATAAGTCGCGATTTATCCTTAGGCTCGTCTCTCATAATATTTTTTGCGATGGTGGTTTTGAGGCTTTCAATGGTTTTTTCAGTTTTGCTATTTTCGAACTTGTCAACCATTGCTATACAGCGATCTACATTAAGAGATAGACTTGAGTCATAAAGTTGACGATGGGATAAGTTGCCACAAGAAAAACCGGTTGTAATGGTCAAGTTAGCTTCTGTAAGAGATTCTATTTTGGTCTTAAGTTTCTGTTCTAAAATTTGACCTATTGGAGGAGTTTCTAGAGCATTTAGTTTTATAATAAAAGTCTTTTCTGAATCACTGTGAATTTCATGATTCTTACTTTCGTAACTGTGTAGCGTTTCTGATGACCCTAGCACATCTGTATAACTGACATACACTTCTGTTGCTTCACAAAGGGGATTCCCCTTCTGTGGAGGTAGCCGTGCGCTTTCCATATTATTGCCATATTCTTTTATTATTTCACTGTTAGATTTTTGTTCTTCTTTTTCTGAAAGTCGTGCAGTTATATCCTTTCCTTCTAATATTTTGCGTGGTTTCTGCTTTTCACTTTCTGAGGCATATAGTTCTACCACTTCTGCGTCTTTTACATCACTCCTGGACTCATTTTTTTTATTTTCGCAAGAGTACGATGATTTAGAAAATTTTTGGTCTTCAGTTTTGTTATCTTCTACTGTATCTTTTACACCACCTTCTTTAGACACACTGATGTGATTATCATTGCCGCTTTCCTCTTTCTGCCCTCTGAATGGTATTCTAAATTCACATCCTGCATTTATAACATTGTCTCCGTTTGGCCAACTGCTGTTTTCATGCATATCAACTGTAGAGATGCATAGCGGATCGAAAGACTCATGGGCCTCTGTCCCATTGGTACACTCTTCTGTTCGCACATTGAAGAGTGTCCGAACTTCTTTTTCGCAAGGCTTTTGTTTTCCACTTTCTGTTTTAAAGAATTCTACTGCTGCTGTTTCAATGATTTTATCTTCTTTCGACTCACTGGTAGTTTCTTCTCTCTTAGGTATAAAGGTGTAAGGTGTTTCAGAGGATTCTTGAGTTTCTGCTTCATTACCACATTCATCCTTTTTCTCAATGTATGGTATTTCTATTTCCCTTTGTGCATCTATAGCACACTCTCCTTTTGGTTTTAGTTTCTCATTATCCGTTAATTCTACTGCTTCTGTATCCATAATTTTATCTCCAGGTGAATCACAGACTGCCTTTTGTTTGTCAGTTGCGAAAGTATATGATTCTGAAACCTCTTTCTCAGTCTCACACTTTTCTTTTTGATATTTAAACGACGATGAATTTTCACATTCTGTACCCTTAACAGTTTCTACTTCTGGTTCAGTATAGGGATTTTGTGTTCCATTTATTGTAACAGAGAATTCTACTGTTTGCGCATCCCTAATACAGTCTCCTGTTAACTCACTAAGACGTTTTTGTTTATCCGGTATGGGGGTGTCACGTGTTTCAGAGGATTCGTCAGTTTCTATTTCATTATCATGTTCATTCTTATGATCAATGTACCATATTTCATTTTCACTTTGTGTATCCTTAGCACACTCTATTTCTGCTTCATTACATGCTATTTCCTTTTCGCTTCCTGATAATTCTTCCGCTTCAGTATCGATATTTTTATCTCCTGGTAACTCATAGACTGATTGTTGTTTCCCAGTTGCGGAAGTGCATAACTTTTGTAAAGATTCCTCAACCTCTTTCTCAATGGCACACTTTTCTATTTGATAGGCGAAGGGCGATGGATTTTCACATTCTGTACCCATAACAGTTCCTACTTCTGATTCAGTACAGAGATTTTGCGTTCCATAATCTGTTACAGAGAATTGTACTGCTTGCGCATCCGTAACACACTCTCCTGTGGACTCACTAATACGTTCTTGTTTATCCGGTTTGGGAGTATCAGGTGTTTCAGATAATTCTTGAGTTCCTACTTCATTAACACTTTGTGCATCTTTAGGACAGTCTATTTCTGATAGTTCTACCGCTTCCGTATCCATATTTTTATTTCCTGGCAATTTATACATCCCAGTTCCTACTTCTGGTTTTGTACAAGGATTTTGTAATCCATTGTCTGTTACAGAGCATTCAACCGCTTGTGTATCCATAATACATGCTCGTGTTGACTCACTCGTATTTTCTTGTTTCTCCGGTATGGGGGTATAATGTGGTTCAGAGGATTCTTGAGTTTTTACTTCATTATCATGTTCATTCTTATGATCAATGTACGATATTTCATTTTCACTTTGTGCATCTTTAGCACACTCTATTTCTGGTTCATTACATGCTATTTGTTTTTCGCCTTCTGATAGTTTTACCGCTTCTGTATCCATATTTTTATCTCCCGGTAACTCATACGTAACAGTTTTTACTTCTGGTTCAGTACAGGGATTTTGCATTGGTACAGAGCATTCAACCGCTTGTGTATCCATAATATATGCTCCTGTTGACTCACTAATATTTTCTTGTTTCTCCGGCATGGGTATATAAGGTGTTGCAGAGGATTGTTGAGTGTTTACTTCCTTATCATGTTCATTCTCATGATCAATGTACGATATTGCATTTTCAC